AAATAAACGCATGACATCTGTATAGATGTTAAACCAGTGGTCATATTATTAAACTGTATTGTACTGCCAAAATAAATTTTATTAATTGATACAATCCAGGGGGCTACCAGCTAACTCGCTCGTAATTGTCTTGCTGTCAAATTTGGTTGATGTAAAATTTATAGAGAAAGAAGTCACTAGATCCTTACAAAAGCAACAAAGAAATTGTCATATCAATTAAATTTGACAGGAAAACGAACACGGGCGAGTTAGCCGGTAATGCACCAGGCGTTAGTCTGCGAAAGTCCCAATCCGTTATCAAAGAAAACTAGCTTACTTTCGCAAAAATCATTTTTGTGAAAGTAGTTTTCTTTAACAACAATTTTTTTAATTATGTTTCAGATATCTGTAAAAATGGGCAAAGTAAAAAATAAGAAAACTCGTGAGGAAAAGCTGGCACAGGCTAGGCTTCATAAGAAACAAAAACATGAAGAAATTAAAAAAGACCCTGAGAGGTATGCAGCTTTTAAAGAAAAGGAAAGACTAAGGTATTTAAAACGTAAAGAACAAAATAAACTAAAAAGTATTAAGGATTTGACACCGCGGCAACAAAGACAGCAAAGAAGAAAATGGCGCGAAAATCGACAACGCTATGTAGAGAAGAAAAATAAAGAAAAAACCATAGTGCAAATGCTTATTGAGAATTCTCCACCAACTAGTGATGAAGAAGAAGTAGTGGATTCCTTGAAACAAAGATCATTTTCTAAGAATTGTGAAAATGATCCTTTAGAAGGGCCATCTACATTAGAAATAGATACAAATAAAATTAAAAAAAAGAAAAAATGTGACAATTGTGCAAAAAAAGAAAGTCAGTTAAGGCGACTTCGCTACATCTTTAGTAAACGGGTTAGCTTATTAAAAAAAGAACTGGAAAAAGAAAAAAATGAAAAAGGAGCGATCAAAAAGCTGTTGCAAAGATCAACAAGGAAATTAAAGAATCCATCAACAGAACAGAAAATTGAAAGTTTGATCGAAAATATAGATCCAGTTAAAAAGGCAGAGGTGAAAAAGAAGTTATTGTTTGGAGAGTGTATAACTAAACAACTTAAAGAAGGGTATAAAATATTAAACAAAAAGGATAAACGTCATTTTAGTGACACAATTTTACAAAACAAGGATAGTTTAAAAAAACACAAACTACTCACTAAAGCAAAATCTTTTACAATAAGAAACAAGAAAGAAGTTGATAAAACAATGAAAATAGATATAAAACAAGAAATAGAAGACTTTTTCGAAGACGACGGTAGTAGTCAATTGTCAGCTGACAAAAAAGAATACATGAAACGAAACAGAATCACAAAACAAAAACGTTACCTTTCAGACACCATGATTAATCTACATAAAAAATTTAACGATACGCATGCCTATGAGATTAGTTATGCAACTTTTTGCAGAAATCGTCCTTTTTGGGTAGTTTACCCAAAAATGTCTGATAGAAACACTTGCATGTGTATAACACATATTAATTTCGACTTATTAATAAAATCACTTCAGCAAAATAAAATAATTACAGAAAGTAATGGGTCTGCTTTACTAGAATGTCTTTGCTGCGATGTTCGAAGAGAACAATGTTTAAATCGAACCTGTCACTCATGTAATACAAAAGTTATTAAGTACAAAGAATTTAGAAATGAAAAACCCTTGAAGTATTACCAGTGGGAAGCGAAAAATGTAAAGTATACAGTAAAAGGCGAAGAAAAAGTAACAAAGAAAACTACTAAAATTGAAAAGGAAGACTTGCCGCTTACTTTGATCCATAAACTTGAGGATACCCTTCCAAAGTATTTCAAGCACTGCTTAAATATCGTGCAGCAATATAATAATATAAATAACTTGAAGAAATCGTTAACTCCCAAGGAAGTAATCATACATATGGATTTCTCAGAAAATTATATCTCAAAATTTCACGAAGAAGTGCAAAGTCACCATTTTGGTAACAGTCCCGAGCAAATCAGCTTACACACTTCGGTTGCTTATTTGCTGGATTCTGAAACAGGAGTTCAAAAAACATATAGTATGTGCACTATCAGTGAATGTACCAGACATGACGCAGAAGCTGTATGGGCACATATTATTCCGATTATTGAATTTGTTATGAGTATCAGTTTTATCGATACTTTGCATTTTGTGACTGATAGCCCGTCAAGTCAATATCGAAACCGAAAAATTTTTTACATTATCAGCCATCTTCAGCAGACATTCCCAAACTTAATAGCAATTAGTTGGAACTATTTGGAGAGCGGACACGGAAAAGGAGCTCCAGATGGGATTGGTGCTGTCGTGAAACGTACAGCAGACAGAATTGTGCGATTTGGGCGAGACGTTGGTTCCATCAAAGATTTTTGGGTTGTTATAAAAGAAAACATCAAGAATGTAGAATTGCGTATAGTAACAACAAAAGATATTGAAGAGAAAAAAATCTCACATAAATTAAAAAAATTTAAGGGCACCATGTCGGTACATCAAGTTTTATGGTCAGTAACCAGTTTAAGAATGACATTTAGAAAACTTAGTTGCTTCTTTTGTCCTAACGGTATCACGTGTACTCACGGATATCATTTGGGATATATGGACTTACCTGAAGATTCTGACCAGGAACGGCAACAATTATTGCAAGACTTTTTACACACAAATACTACTCCCGAAATTATAGATGAAATTACGAATTCCCCAAAAACCACATGCCTTTTGGTAAAAAATTTGGACAAAACACAAAAAGATAAATGTAATAACTTTTTCGATATTCATTCAATACCAGAAGTCCCTCAAAAATCCACCACTTCCTCGAGGGTGACAATACTGTCTGACATTCGTCTACACTGGTCTAATACAGCCTTTAGAGCAACGACAGAAACTTTTGAAGAACCCAGTTTCCAAACGGACTTCGAAAATTTTATTACACATAAGACGATTGTAAAGAATAAAGAATTAACTTCAGTCGGACCTAGTCATACTGAAACAAGTAAAATACAAAAATATAAAAGCAAGGATATAGTTATAAAAGAATTAGGACACAGAAAAGAAGATAAAGAAAATTTTTGGGATTCAGACGATGATGATTATAATATATTTTAAAATTTAGAAGACTTTATTAATATTAGGTAAAATACTGATTGATCCTTAAGAAATTTAGTTGATTAGAGACTTATATTTTTTATTAAAGACTTATCAATAGAAATATTGATTTTCAGCAGACTTATCGATATTTAATATATATTATATGAACTTATCAATAGAAATAGAGATAAGTCTTTAATAAAAGAAATACATCTTTTACATTATATTAAAACTATAAAAAGTTGTTGATTTTGGATTAGAACTTATTGATTTTCATTATTGTTATTAATTTAATTTTTTTTTATAATTGTCACATAGCAATAAAGCTTTCAAACTATTTAATTTTTCTATGAGGCTGCTCATATAATTTTATAGGGCGAAAGATGTGTAGGACAATATTAAATATTGTATAAGGCTGATTAATACTAAAGAAATTTAGCTGATAAGAAAAATCTATTAATAAATCTAAAATAAAAAAAACCTCATGTCCATTTGATTTAGGATTAAAATATTATTGTTTTTCATTATACTATTAAAAATATTTAAAATTGGATTGATTTCTTTTCAGTTTTTTACTATTTTCTTACTATAATCAAGCTATAAAGCTGTAAGCTTATTTTATTTCATTATGAGTATGCCCTAATTATTTTATAAAACGAATGTAAGTGTTTAATATGTACATGTTTTCTGTTTTAATTAAAATGATTAAATATTTAATCTTATTTCTTTTCAATTATTTATTAAACAGCTGCTATATTATTTAAATGTATGGTACATTACGACTCATTATCATTCCCAGTATTCACTAATCACTACCATCCTCATTGATTTCATTACCAGATGAACTTGAATCATTACCGTTTAAAAATAAAATTTTAAAATCCCATAGCTCCTCAATTCATCGTTGCAATTTCCTATAAATTGGCCGAATTATCAAGGAATATGTATACTTTGATAATATCAGTATATCTTTGTAATTTAAAAAAATATCAAATTTTGTACCGATGTGCACGAAATTTGATAATCACCCTTAATCATAATCAAGATATAGCGCTATCAACATGTTAAGTTGATAGTTCATAATTTGCTCTCATTACTAAAGGTTATTAAACTGTTTTTAAGTACAGGTTTTGTTGCCAAGCATTAATGATAATTCTTAATACACCCAGTGTATAGTTATCAGTTGCATGCACTTAACGTAAATGTAACAAATTGGTTCCGAAAGTAAATTGAACGTGGACAGGTGAACAAGAGCGATTTCTAGGTAGAGCGAACACCCTGTTGTTCGGAAGACCTTGCCCTCAATTTTCGACAATGTAAAACACGACATCATAACATTGATTAGAAGTACCTACATTTAAGTATGATTATGATGTATAAGCTTTTGAAAGTCATATGATCTACGCGCCAAAGGAATGGCGTTACTTTTGTTTTTAGAAATATAAAAAGTAGGCTTTCGAACATTATGTCTTACAATAAAAAATATGGGTTACGTAATTATGATTAGTTATTTAAAGCTTGATCTTTCTTGGGTGCGACTGTCACTCTCTAGTTATAGGATATGACAATTATGGCGATACGATATTCAGCGACGAATTAATGATAAAGTACGGATTTGAAAGTTACACTTCAAAATTCCTAGTCGTTTATTCATAAAACGACGAGTCAAATGTTGCCGTAACATCGCTAATCGCATTAAAAATGGTGGTGGTATATAATATGTGTCTTGTGTTTATGGAGCAATGGACTGTGGACACCACATTCTCTCTAATTTTGATGATTTTTCTGCGGAAAATCTTGCAAATTCCCATGTTATATATACTTTGCCCTGAATATCGAATTCCCACACAAGACCATCGAATTTTATAAGTATTTTATTGAGTCATTGAATATTTCTCCAACAGGGGTGTCCAGAGCTCCTCTCGAAACAAATAATCTGGCAAACTCTTCAAGGGGTCGCGTATTGTCACCGACACAACTGCATACATCGTGACGTGAAGCCGGAGAATATTTTGCTCACCAGCGAGGGTGTTGTCAAGCTCTGCGACTTCGGATTCGCCAGAATGATCAGTGCGTATTAGAGATTTTTTTTTGCATATCAGTTATAAAGCGTAAGCGTCTGGGTCTGTCAAAGAAAGTAGCTAAACTGGAGCCGGACCATTGTAACTGTTGAGGCTTATGCTACAACGTGATTAGTAGATCAGGAATAAACTTAAAATTAAACAATAACGATTCTGTAGATGATGCTATTAATTGGTATGCTTAGAGCATGATTATAAATTAACATCTGTTTTATAGTTGATATGTTTTTGCTCAAGAGTAATATTTTCTTTAAGATTTTTTGGCGACTATCGTAGTGCGAATCATTGAATTAGATAACTCAATTTTATATTAGATGATATTGTAATTATTCCATTTCGACTACTTGTTTCTGAATATTCTATTAACAAATTAACACTGGCACAGATAGAAACACGTATAGAATGTCGATCAGCTTCCAAACCTTTCCCATCCTGAATCCTCTCTTCCATCCATCCAGGTGGCAGCAGTTCCTCCGAGTACTCAGTGCACACTATGATACCATTCGGCGTGGACGTGCGCAGGAGAGCTAGTAACTATTTCCTCTATTTAGACTGAATACCTCTAGTAATATTTTTGTACAGTAAATAAATAATAGTGTTACTCATACACAAAGAGGACTGTTTAAAAGCCAAAGAGTTTTGGACTTTTGTGTGGTCAAATACTAGAATTAGAACTTTTTTGTAATAAATATATCTATTATATTTTATCAATTTCGCATTCACAATGCTATACTGAAAAATATTCTGAATGAAAAAGCCGTAAAAAATCCACTCGGTCCCTAAAAAAAATCCCATCTCAGGGTGCAGATGACAGATTTGTAGCATTTCTTAGATGTCTTGATGAGACAAAACGAGAAATTTGCCAAACAAATGAAAGGACCGCTCACCTGTATCAGTAACAAGAGTCTGCCAGTTAACAAAAAAATAACAAAAACTCAGACGACACATTTATATCATCGAAAAGATTTTGCTTTTGCATGATTTTTGTTAACAACAAAATTTTATTTCTAAAAATTACCTGAAACACAACAAAATAATGGGCATCTTCGTCCTCTAATCGACAGTCTTCATATTTTAAATAAAAAAAAAATTGTAGTACTGTCAAAACGATCGTCCGTCATAAAAAAGTCTGAATGCTTGTAAAGTAATAAGGTTGGTATCTTTGTTTTAGTGATCGTTATAATAATAATATCAAAATGAAGCTAAAATGTACCTTAATGATGACATCGCAATCTATTTTGTGAATAAGATATTCCGCATACGTATACCTATATTAAATTTTATTTATAAAAGTAAGCTGATTAGTTATTCAAATTACATATTCAAATAATTTTGCAACGCGATCGTTACTGTCAACTTTTCATTGTATGTTAACTAGATATAAATATTTTAGAATGAATGAATGTAAACTACGTTTAATTAATGTTATTTAGGCCAAAACATAGGTGGATTAAAGGCCAAGGCGCCACAAGTATAATAAATAATCCTTTAAAAATCTCTACGATTTAAAAAGATCACAAAGTCACCCCTAAAATTCATCTTCTTTTTCCATTTCTTCGTGTTACGCTCGACATGACGAGTACATGAGAAGTTGAAAACTAATTAGTATCCCAGATAACAGATGTATTAAACTTGTTTCTGACTTGCAACAAGTTTAATACATCAAAAAAGAATACTTGCTTCAAGTTGGCCATGACAACTGCAGCAACGTTAGATCAAACTTTCTAATTTCAGTGTGATAAACTTGCACTACCATGGACGTATCAAAGGTAGTGCAAGTGTACTGACTCGAATATCTAGCAGGTACTCGGGTACTCGAATACCTGGAATACAGATTTCGAGGCAAATATTGCTTTAAGTTAACTAAGTTTTTATTATTCTTTTGATCATTCAAAACTTTTAGTCCAAAATCGATTGCGACTTTAAACTCAGACCACAGCACAGAGCCTAAAAGCCAAAGTAATTAACTGGAACGGTTGGTTTCGAATCCCATGTTAGGATCACATTAAACGGCATATTACTTATACAATGTAACAATATAAACTGATACCACGATGCATTAAATGAACAGAGCCATCTAGTTTGCAGACTTAGAACTATTCGCGCACCGATGAAGATGATGGGTGTGTTACAACAAAGTATCTTTGTCATAACAATATTCAAACAATATTGTCGCAAACTTGAAACTTCATATTTAACATAACAATATTGCAGCGACATTGTCACAAACTTGTCTCGTATATTTGACGCAACAATTTAGAATCAAAGAAAAATCAATCTTGCCACAAGTTAGCATGCTATCTGGGATGTATGACATGACATTCAAACGTACACTCGACAGATGATAATATATCTTGTGACGGGTTCGATGCTTAGACAAATGAATAAAAGGCTGACTTAGTTTGAAAATTTGATTTATTCGAGGGTAATAAGAAAAAATTGTAACAAACAAAAAATGAATATAAAAACAGTTCGTATGATTACCTGACTATATAATTACAATTGTTAAAAAGAACAAAAACATTAATTTCATTATTATAAAATGTTTCATTCAAATTTATACGATTACAATAACATGTTCACACAGATATTTTGTTTTTACAAACTGACATTCACAAAAAGCATATTGGATTAGTCAAAAATTCAAATTACCAAAGGTGAATAATAAAAAGAAACGATGTTGAAGATCAAAGACAAAAAGTTTGCATGCGGATACCTAGGACGAAATAAACGGTCGGTGGTACGACCGTTACAATCTTACTAAACTAACGCATAGGTTCTTCCGTAGACGCTTAAGAATCGGTTGAATATAAAATTATAATAACAAGAAGACCAGGAAAAAGTTTCAAATTAGAGGTACTGTGTGTTATTTTTTAATAGAAAAAGAATATATATACTAATATCATATATATCAAAACCAATTAAAAATTAATTTGTGGTTTATGCGCGAGGCCGTGTCGGCATCTGCATTTATTTGCATAAGGACGGATGGTGCAACTATTGCAATATGAGAATTATTAGTGCAAAAGTTGCTAAATATTGTAATTCAGTTACAAATAACTCAAGTATTCAACTTACTTCAGTGACGAGGTAACGGGCTAACTACTCTTGCGTAGCATTACAATATGTTTACCTTTGGAAATAATTTACCAAACCTTTAAAAAATTAACAAGCACGAAGGTTGAAGTTGATCATACCCAAACCAACCAATCGCATGTTAGTATTGCAGATAAAGGTTACGGCAATACCGGCAAGATAATGTCTTATCGATGTTTATCGTTTCGACACTGGGGGCCAATTCTAATAAATAAATTTTGTTTAAATCGAATCGAAAACGGATCGAAACTGAACGAAACTACAGTTTTTAATGGTTTTCCTATTCTACAACGTGACATACGATACAATTCCAGTTCTATTTTAGCTGGAATTGTATCGTATGTCACATTAAAAACTGGGGGCCAATTCTACTAAATAAATTTTGTTTAATCGAAACCGAACGAAACTACAGTTTTTAATGGCCCCCTGTAGTTTCGTTCGGTTTCGATCCGTTTTCGATTCGATTTAAACAAAATTTATTTAGTAGAATTGGCCCCCGGGTCGCGTTGAACTGTTGATGATGCCATTGATTGATGGTGGGACCGCTACCGATGCTCAACGACACTCTGTGGGTTCGCTCACCTTTGGGTTGTGTATTCAGGTGGCCATAGTGACCACCGTTAATAGCTCAAAGCATAATTATACCATTAAAGTCACAATAAATTACCATAACCTTTGTTGTATCTACTTTTACCATCGAGCAATTCAATAATTTACGCATATTTTCATGTATTGTAATTGAACAGGATCTATGACTTTTTTACCGGGGTAGAAACTTCGAATTGCGCCCTTTCTCAACACCCCTACACTCCACGAGGGTGATAATTGTGTATTACCATAATAAGGTCGTTTTTTTTAAGTGTAAGTAGATATTATACAACGATGATTTTGGCGCCCCTCTGACGCTGGCGCTCGGGGCAAGAGTCCCCACTTGCCCTGGGTCTGTAATTAAAGGATCAAAGAAAGAAGAAAAGGATTAAATGAGATGGAATAATTAAATGAATACCTTGAGCCATGTCTATATTCATTTTGCTTTCTTCTATATCTTCCTCTATCATTGTTTTTATGCCTGTGCATCGCTCGCTCCCATAGTGTGACAAAAAGCCATACGTGCGTAGATGTATACAACAGTTGCTCTCAAACCTTTTGACTTAACGAGTTACTGTCATTAAAAGTTTTTGCCGCGCAATAGGTGACGTGTCCTCATTGCCGGTTGTAAAATAAATATAAAAGCTACCAATAATAATAATAAAACGATTAAATACTATATATATTTAATCCGGTGTTTTTCACTCATACTAAGTACAAGCTATAAGCTGCATAATTTAGTAAATTCATATCTACGCTTTTAATCAATTTTAGAACTCTTAGGATGAAATCACCTACCAATATTAGTCGAGAAAACATTTCAAAGAATTATTTAGAGTTATTATGGCCAAATGTTTGTTATTCCGCCAATATCGGCATAACGTAAAAATCTGTTACAAAAAAGGCAAAATTCTTATGTCTATATTCAGTTAAAAGCGTATCATTATTTTTCGTATGCTTTTAGTTTTATAAATGCCTATTAAAATGTAAGTAGAGCGATAGGTTCGTAGTTTTAACAGAATAAATTAGAAGGTTGCGCACTTTGGCTGCGGCAAGAACGGAAGTGCCCTCTAGTTAAAAGATTCGTAATCAACAAGGAGGAGCTAGAAAATTGTGGGGTAATTTTGGTATTTTAAACTGTCACGTAGTTATTAACGTAGTCTTTTATTGATATTATTATACATATTTCAAACCAAGAGCTGTTTCATAGTTATAAAACGGAATTAATCAGAGAATTTTCCTAAGAGCATTCGTCCAGTTGAACTAACAACGGATGCCATAGATCAAAAAAGGGAGGTAGGTATTTGTAGACCACTCCATATAAGTTTTAACCAGCTCTACAGTATAAAGCTCTACAGTCAGAATTAATAGCTACTTGCAAACCGAGATATTAAACATACTATTATTTCGGGTGTTAAACTTGCCGAAGAACTACAATGAATATTGATTGGGTAAATCTGTGACCCGATGAAAAATAATCCCACGAAAATGGGCACTTAAATCGACTCCACCATTATAGTTAGCTGTGCTCCATTAGGTACACCGCGTATCAAATGACAAATTGCTTTTTAGTTCAACCTTCAAGATAAATCACATTTTACATACTTGGACAAGTCGGAAATAATTACGCTAGTAATAGTATTGTATCTAATATTAATAAACCTCATTATTTGTAAAGTTCACTTAATTACTATTCTCTTTAATGTTGACTGTGGTATTCATTAAAGTCACGAGCTGATTATTTTTGTTTCCTCATACATAGAAATGACATAAAAAGATTATTTATTATTGTATTTATTTTGTTTTCTTTTTGTGTTACTGACCGCGTTTTGGTACTGAGATCACTAATCCACTTAGCAAAATAATCCTACAAAAGATTCATTTACTCAATAAAAACTAGACTCCCTGGTCGAGTGTCTGACACATTGGTTTTAAGGTGGAGGGGTCGATTTCGACGTTCAATATTGAATTAAATAACCTTTTGATTTACGTGGTAGGCCTAGCGGGCCAGTAGAGAATATGAATTTTTCTTTGTCGAGGTCGTCACGGATCTGGGTGTTGTGGTGCTTCATTATCAATGCATGTGCATGTGGTGTTGTCTAAAAATATGACATAATTTACCAGTGTTGAAGGGATTCTCTCAACCGGGCGTTGAATTCTGTTCTGCCAAGCCCAGAAATAAGTTATATAACACGAGTTCTCTAATATTTTTTTTATCTATTATACAGAATTTTTCAAGAAACTTGATGATCATTAAAAATTTAATAGTACTGCAACTGTCCGTACAATGAGCCAGCCACACCAAACACGGAATCGATTTTTATAGTCGATGTGACCTTGTGCTGTGGTCAGCAACTGACAAGCACACATCAGAGTTCATTCAGCTGACTGGTGTCGCAATGACGATAACCGGTCGATGGCTCAAACGCTGCAAGATGTAGCCAGAGTCCGATGGCAGCTTTGGTGCGACCGTGGCACATTTGGAAATAGGGTTGTTGATATTAAATTAGAACGATTAATGATACGTGCATTTTTTTTTAAATTGCGATGAATATGAATTAGTTTTAGACAAATTCTTTTAAGACTTTTATGTTGATTTAGAAGGATATGAAAATATATAAACGCATTAGCGTATAAATAATAATACCAAGCATAATAGAACAAATTTCATACATTTTAATATGGAAATATTTTATAGCTTTTCGTTAATAGGTAATTTTTTCGTGTTTTAACACAGTTAGAAAAAGTGAAAGTCTTTATTTTTAATACTTAGACATAATTAGATTTTAATAACCCCAAAGGTTAACAACAGACTGGCTGAATTAGTGGCATGAAGAACGGAGTAGATATCTTGAATGTTTCGAGATGGGATACCATATCGGTCACTTGGGACTGTTGTTGTTTTATGATTGTGAATGTTTCTTTATAAAAAAAAAACTATTTTGTTTTGTTTTTGACAAAGAAATCTGGGGTATATAGAAAATCTGGGATATCTAGTAATTTTACTAATAACTGGAACGGAATCACAGAATATTATCACAACAGAACAGTGACAGCCCTGACCAGGAGCGGTGTGTATCTCTTTCACGTGATCTCGTCTCGTGTGGTGTTGCGATTGGGCCGTGATTTTCGCAACCATGCGTTTTAGTCGAGTGGTTTTGGAATATCTACTATCAAGTAGTTACCCATTCGAAGTTGGCAAATAAATTGCAATGCAACTAAACTAACAGTTGCTTCGTAATGTAGGATTCAATAGCTTAATTTGCTATTTTTTACAAACATCATAGTTGACGATACAATGAGCGTTGAAACGAATGGTGGAGATTGAGTTTCATATTTTGGATGTACTTTTAGCAAGGATAGAAAGTACATCGCTGATGTTAAGACGGGAACAGTGTAAATAGACCCTTAGGAATTCAGATCTTTGTCAACAATAAAATATAACTAATCCGGAAGGAAGAAGGTTTAATTTCGCCAAATCGTTAACTGTTGTTTGTAAACAATACCGCGATACGACTCCAGGAGCCACTATAAAGTTTCTTATATTTATGGGTGTATTTCAAGAAAGGTTATGCCGTGCAGATATCGCAACACGAATACATTACGCAACCGATTTATAAATAGATGAACGAAAGGGTGGTCTATTCCTAGTGTGGGTCATGGGATCGTTGCGAACTAAAAAGCCATTTATCATGCGGAATACGCTTGTATCTTAACTGACACAACACGATAGTCAGGCAACACAGAAATGTTCACATAATTGCCACGTACGTAGACGTAGTATTTTAGCATAAATTTAAAGAACTAATCCGAGGTTCCTATGAATAAGTACTTAGTACAATGAATAGTCATTGACAACGATAGCTTTGTGATCCACTTTTGTTCGCACAAGAAATTAATGAACGTACACCGCCGTATGTTTAGGTTGTAACCACATTTAAAGATTTTTTGGTTGCAGTGTGTGAAAAATTATAAAATATGTATTGTACGAATTTTCATGCCTTTGTTTTCATTTCTTGTGTTACGAAAGTCACTGTAACACCTACTAACCTACATAATGTCGTACATTTCAACAGAATCTGATGTAAAGTTATAGTTGGACTTAAGTTTGCCCTAGCAGATAGAGTCACTATATCTCAGGATTTGCTCATAAAATATAGTGTATTTTAAGGATCTCAAACAAAGAGTTATACAAACTAAAAATTTACTTAACTTTGCGATGTGCAACGCAACGAGTGAGCGAGATCGAGAGTCTTTAGATCCGCAGTGTATAAAAACGATAATAATTTGACTTCGTTTGAAAGAATAATCTCAAGCTATAACAAAATCTCAGGATTTATCAGGCCTTTTATCTGGAGCTTAGATTTGTCCAAAGTCCCGTGTATTGTTGAATTACTGGTTTTATAAGGGCTTCATCGAGTAGGCTCCTTGATCTTTTGCCTGGGACGTAGCCCAGTCAATGAAAACATCTTGAATAAGTAGATAAAAGATTTTAGACTATTCAATCAAAACAGTATTTAAGAACCTTACTTGTATATCGAATATTTTATTTTACGACAATATTTGGTCTCTTGTTTCTTCTGTAGACTGGTTGATGACTGCAGTAAACTAACGAGGTTACTTCGCTTAACATGTCCAGGTCCAGGTGAGAGCTACACGGATTATGTGGCAACGCGATGGTACCGAGCACCTGAGCTTCTAGTGGGGGACACCATGTACAGTACGCCGGTGGACGTGTGGGCTATCGGTAAGTATACCTACATGAACAGTCTTCCTAAATAAAACTGATCACAGCGATAACTACTCTGTATTCTTTGATTATCTGCACCAGACTATTAACATGTCCTCACTGCTATGACACAGGCCTCACTCATGGATATGGATCGAATCGAATCGAGGGCCCAGTGGATATTGGTGGGTGTAACGACTACATATGAAATTGGGACCAACGACTTAACGTGTCTGTCGAAGCACGGAGGAGGTCGAGATAATAAATTTTTGGTCACCCATCCTATAACGGGCCGTTGCGAAAGTTGCTTAACTTTCGCGCTAATCACTGTGCCATCAGCCTAATTTTCGATTAGTACATAATGTATGACTTGCTGATTACAAGACCAGCGTATGCTGTGCTGGACCCGTTTTGGGAGATAAAGTACCATGTGACTATGTTTTACTAAGTCTTCTTTGTCCCAAATAAAGGACTTTCTTATTATACGTTTATCAGTATTACTGACTGATATTTTGTAACCTGTAATAGATCCTAATGAAATTTTTATAGCAATAAAACTTTTGTTTGACGGTGCTATGTCAAAGTATCAGGAAAGACGAGATATTCACTAGGCTAACACATTAGGTATTTACCAGGTTGTGTATTCGCCGAGTTGCTCTCCAGCGAAGCTCTGTGGCCTGGGAAGAGCGATCTAGACCAATTATATCTAATAAGGAAAACTCTCGGCGATCTCCTGCCGCGACACATGACTATATTTTCGCAGAACACATTCTTTCAGGTGGGTTTTAAGAGTTACAGCAAAATCATTAGTTAAAAATTTAATATAATTTCTCCAGTATTCGTTGGCACTGGAGGAGTTGTACCCAGTTGACGTTATATTCCTGTTTAGATTTAATGTTAAAGTTCTTTTTTTTAAACTTAAAGTTCTACTTTTTTTTACAGGGCATGGCTTTGCCTGAACCCACGGTCATAGAACCACTAGAGAAAAAAATCCCTCAGCGATATGCCAATAACGAACTTGTTATAGATTTTTTACAGGTGAGCAACTAAATATCTAGGAATGTTTCTATCTATTTGTTTAGACAATAAAACTCTTTTAATATATGTTTAAAACAGACATGTGCTTAAACATTTAAGTACCGTTGATTATTTAATTGTCATCATTACTCATCCTTATAAAGTCAACGATAACCTGCAGGTTTAGAGTAGCTCGGTGGCGTAGTAGATAAGCGCCGCAGCCCGTGATCGTTGTTGCCAAGCAACTTTCCCACGGGTTTGTCACGGGATGGGTGGTCAAACAATTATTATCTCGAGCTACACCGTGCTTTGGAAGGCACGTTTACACCCTCCAATACGCATTTGGTCAGCGTGGTGGGTAATGGCCCATCCTCCTTAAACATCCATAAGGAAGGCCTGAGCCCCTGCAATGGGGACGTAAAAAAGGACTGTTGATGATGAAACAGATTACCATACTATTTACTTATGAACTTCATGCAATGTCATTGTAAGTATTTGAATCAGTTAAAATCGGTGATAAGACTGTGTGAACAGATTATATGTTGTTTTGATTCATAAGTTTAATTAAAATATCTTGTAATATTAATGTCACTGACTTCAAGACTAATCAGATTTCATATAGACGACCATAGCCGTGATATTGTCTAAAAGCAAAAGATAATCACAATTTGTAAATTACCATTAGGTTATTTATTTTATTAATCTTAATATTTTAAGAATCACCACCTTCAACCCTCATAGGAATGTCCACACTACTGTGGATACAGAACGAGCTATGACAGAAGTTCCGATGGCTTGACGTGTCTTCTTCGTGTGAAGTGCGGAGTAGCTAGAGACCACGTGGCCCCTGCGCCTGCGCCATCATGTTCTTCATAATAACTTATGATAATGTTTGTTTTCAGAAATGCTTAGACAAGGATCCAATGATGCGTTGGACATGCGAGCAGCTGTTACGGCACCCCATATTCGAGAATTTCCTTTTCACAGTCCCCCATTCGGACCATGAGGAGTATGAGAAGGCGAGGAGAGCTCAGGTAAACATGGAAATGCTAACTACCATACAAAAACTTATACGGTTATCTAACAACTCTTACTACAACTACAACTCTCTTGTTGACTGGTAGAATGCCCCATGGCATTAAGTGTGCCATCCGCTATTTTAATTTGTGCAGTAAACCTTAAATAAATGAAATGCAAATCTGGATAAGTGTGATTTTTCGTTAGGTCATAGCCACTATAGGTTTTAGGAAATAGTAAGAGGTAGTTAAACAAAAATATCAATCACTTTTTCAAAATAATGCCAACAGCGACCGGGCATTAGATATGTAATATTATATTTGATCAATTTTGTATTACAATGCTGTATGGAAAAATATTCCTAATGAAATATTAGGCTTAAAAAATCCACTTTGTCCATGCCACTCTGAGATTGGACTAGTACCCACGACCTTTTGCAATCCGGGCAACTGCTCTAATCGCTGAGCTACCCAGCCCCTAACAGGACTGACGAGTTTTTCAAGCACTCGTTAAAGAGCGTATTTTCATCAATGTTCAGGTAATCCACCCAAAAAATACGGTCTGTAAAGCGAAAAACTAACAAGTTCTTGAAAAATTCGTGAGTCCTGTTAGGTCCTGAGTAGCTCAGCGATTGGAGCAGTTGCCCGTATTGCGAAACAGAGTGGTATGGACAAAGTGAATTATTTAATCATTTTTCATAAGAATATTGTCCAGTATGGCATTGTGGATGCGAAATTATCGACAGTTTAAATATTTGTAAAAATATTTCTTTCGGCTGTTTGGTTTGATATGTATTGTCTTTTCCCCAGCACGTATTATCAATGGATATTTTTGTGTCATCTTGTGTAATAGTTGTTACAATACATTCTTAGCTGATCTTATATTTTGGTATCGGCTACAGCAAGAATTTATGCAACGACAATTCACTGATGAAGATTTAGTTACTCACACCAGCAAGAGTGATCCCGCCTTGAAGCCCAAGAAGGGGAAAGGCAAATAGTGACCACGTCTAACTGCCATGACATGTCACTTGGAAAACTGATGAGGTTACCGTCACTCATTTAGTGAATAAATATAAATTCTAGTTAATTGATAAGGAAAGCTAGTATAATGATTCTTGTAGCGCATCAAGTATTCATTTGGTAATTATTTATGTCTGTTTTAGTGTAGCTAGTTATGAGTCACTAGGAACTAGTCTGAATCGAAGGTGTTTACATTTTTGGGTCCTTATTATAATCATGTATACTCATAAGTAAGACAAAATGTTGCGAGACTTTATTGATAACCTATTGGTAGAATATTCGCCCTTTTTATTTATTAAGTAGGTATTACTTCACATACTTATTTTTCTGCAAATTTGGACAACCCTTTATCGCCGCAAAAATAACCGTGCTTTTATACGACAGCTAGTAGCTATTTATTTTGGTTTGATTTTTTAGGGATAGAATTTACTTATTTATTATTTAGCCGGCTCCCGAGCAAGAGCTAATGTTCTCTGCACTGTATACGAACTAATCGCTAATATTAGTCTATTTTAAAGATGGGATGTTAAATGTGTTCGAATGAACGAGAAACTGAATAAGTTTATAAAAGTGAAAACGTTAAAATACTATTTTTGTTGCTAGTAAGTACATATAGTATTTTTTATGAGTTTTTCTCTACAAAGAAAATTGTGAACTTCCATTAATTTTACTCTGCGTTAATTCTCAGCTTGTTCCTCCTTTAAGGGCGACCAGCACGCGTAACACGACTCAATGATCGTTTTGTCTACATACAAATGTTACTTTTTCGATTACACCCATACAATATCTCACTGTCGAGCCGAGTTTTTTCAACGGTTTGTGGCGGGCTACGTGGGTTAATTAATGTAATTTACCTCTTAGGTATTTCAAAATATTTACAACTTTATTTTCAAATCAGGTATATCTAAGTAGTTCTTCCAGTTTTATGTCGGGAAGTTTATGTCGAATACGGAACATAACTGGAGGCTTAATTTCAAATTTTGTTATAACCACCGTCGTAATAACAAACTTTCAGCAGTGGCGCCAACTGGTGAGCACAATAAGTATACACCTCATTGGCTAATATGTTGTGCAGGTGCAGTCATCACCGCTGCTGCCGCAGCTGATCGTGAACGAGCGCGGGAACCAGACCAAGGGCAAGAAGTCCGAGGTGGAGGGGCGCGCGCACCTCCCCACCATCTGACTGGCGGCGCCCGCGCGCCCGCGGAACTGATCACAATAAAACACCTGATTACATCTAGACTTTTATTTGGACACCTTTGATCCGTCCATCGAAAGGCTTATTCCGTTTAACCACCCTGAAATAGCCACCCTAAGGATACTTGGAAACGCGTGGTCATTATTTAATGTTCTTCCGATTTTTTAGCCCCAGTACAGTGGAATCAAATTGTCTACTACACGAAAGCTTCTATCGTGTATTAATAAAAATCACATTTTCATTATACAAAATAATAATAATTCTTTATAATAATAATTTAATTTAATATTTATAATATAATAATAAGTCCCCCAAATTAGGTTGCCCTGTATGTCAGGAGTCAGTAAGTATTATATTTCGACTTATGCAGACTAAAAAATTAAATACCAAAAGAACAAGATAGATAAAATAAATTAATAAGGCTTTTAACATTTACAAATTACTATATTAACTTAACCATGCAAATAATTTCTTTAATGTTAGGTACCAAGTATGTTGGGCTGGGTTTATACGTTTTTTTCAAGGACTGTACACAAGCGGGGGAGAAATTCGGAAGTAAAATTATGATGCGGATTCTTGTTATGGATAAACACACGTTACCGAGTATCCACCTTGGGGTGGATGTTTCAGGGTAGATAAACGGAATAAGCGCATCAAAATAGTCTTTAGTTGAAAAAGTCTGAGGAAGAGTCTTCATCATTATCAGCATATTAATAACTCCACAACTATAGAAGAATAAGCTATAACTGAGTGAGTGATTGGTGGGTGTTGAAAACTGCAAATGCACAATTTATTTTATTTTAAAAAATGTAGGGCTTCCATAGTGTACATCCGATAGTGTATATTATTGTATTCAATTTATGCAATAACAAAAATGAAAAACGAAAACCGATTTGTTATTTGTTCGCACTTAAACGTAAATAAAGAAAATCTTAACATTTAAAATACTTACAATCAACATTTTCTCTAAAAGTAATTTACTTGAAAAGCTTGCAGCGCTAATGAGATCGGAGACGAGGAAATAAATATATTTTTTACGCGCTACAAGTTTTTCAAGTAAATTACTGTTAGAGGAAATTTTTATTTTAAGTACTTTAAATGTTTAGAATTCATTTATTTACGTTTTTTTTAAACTTTAGAGATGCTCCGTATAACCGAATAGTATTAGGTTAAACTTTAAAATAACCGAACCAGATATTCGGTTTCTAGTTCATTATTTTTATTTAGCCTTTTTTGAGTGTCGCTCATCTCTCGAAACTCATATTGCGCAAGGAGGTTTATATCTCAAGCCTTTTTGGCGCACGGTATCGTAAAATGCATTTTTCTCAAGATTTTTGTATGAAACAAGTACTTTATAAAATTCGTCAGTCGGTTAGGGCAGTCGCCCAGATTGCGAAAGGTCGTGGGTTCAAGTGTCATCTCAGAGAACTTATAATCATTATTTTAATTTATTAACTTTATAGAACATTTTTTTCATAGTATGTCGTTGACTTAGATTGTAACATTTTCCATAAGCAGTTTTGTAAATATATGCCTAATACCTAACAAATATTTGGTGTATCTCTACTTTTTTAATTATATTTTTATTTTTTACTTTTGTCTCAATATGTTGCTTTTCTTATAAATACGAATATAAAGAGCCCAAATATGATGCTGTTGCATCATTTCATCACTAATTTCAAAAATTACCTTCCGACTTCATCAACATTATCAGCTTACTGACATCATAATATTGCATTGTCATCTGACTTACTATGCAAAATTTCAAATCTGTCGGACCTTGGGAAATGATTTTCAATACCAAATGCTTAAAAAATCCCCTAAGTCCCTGGCATGCTGAGATGGGAATCGAACCCACCTTTCGCAATCCGGGCGACTGCTCTAACCGCTCAGCTACCCAGGACCTAACAGAACTGACGAATCTTTCAAGCACTTGTTACTTTTCGCTTGGTACTACAGAGTGTATTCTCATCAATGTTCAGGCATCCACCCAAACAGCCGAAAGAAATATTGTTACAAATATTGAAACTTTCGATAAAGATGAAAATTTTGTTCTTATTATTATATTTTGATTTATTTTGCATTCACAATCTATATATATAAAAATGAATCGCAAAATGTGTTGGTAAGCGCATAACTCAACAACGCCTCGACCAATTTGGCCAAATCTTTTTTTAAAATGTTCGTTGAAGTTCAAGGATGGTTTTTACGGCGAGAAAAATTAGAATTATTGCTGGAAAAACCCTAAAAATAGCCCTTTTCTTTTTCCCATACAAATGATTTGTAACTAAAACGTAGTCAATTTGAGCTTTATTGCTATGGTATAAAGTTCATATTAAATTACAAGCACTCACTAAGCACGCACTCACAAGCACAAGCAGGACGAAGTCTGTCGGGTCAGCTAGTACTATATATATTAAGAATCATTTTCAATATGGCACTGTGAATGCAAAATGAATCAAAATATAATAATTAGAACAAAATTGTCAGTTGTTCCAAGATTTGCGCACTAACTAACATACTAACGAGGCACTTAAAATAAAGCTTGTAATAAGGAGACCTTTACCTAAATAGGGGTCCACATCTTATAACTGATTTTATTAATAACAGTTTAAGTTTAGACTGTACCTCCAATAATACTTTGTTGATGAAGATTAGTTACCACAATTAAATGTTTTGATAAGTATATTTACTTACTACTATTTTATGACAAAATATATTTTAACAGGCTAAATTGATAGACCATAATAAATTAACAGCTCTAAATATTTTAAAGTATTCACAGTTTCAGTATCTTAGTCTTTTGAAGACAAACCCATATTTTTAATCATCTGAAACAAACAGAATATAATTAACTTATTATAAGAATAGGTAATTAACTAATATTATAAGATTACTTGGCACTGGAACACAATATACAACCTTCCTTGTTCAACTTAAGATTTAGCTCATGAATTTTTAAAATGTTGGATCACATTATATCCTGCTATAATTGTTAGATAAGATGGGTTGGCATTATATTTCGGCAAGTTTATATTATGGTTAAAATAATAATTAATTAAAATAGTAATTAAGCAAGAACAAGAAGACTCACAGACAAATAAAGCGTTACAAAATAATTTGAGACTGAGTAGAAAGTTATGGTATGATACAAAGTATAATCAAAGTATCATACCTTTGTAATCGGAAGTTTATCTCTTTCTTCAGAAGACACCAAACTCTCCACTTCTTGTAATTTATACCAACCGTAGTGGCTGGCGATTATAAAGGGTATCATAACGAGTGCTACAAGATTCTTCGATATGAAAGTTTTCACACTCATTTTGAAAAATTCTAGTTCCTACATGAATTATAGGTGTTGTTGCTAAGTTTTTCGCTGTTTGTTAAGTTTACGAATGTTATTAAATTATAATAACATTACGAAACAAGAACGTACAATCTTTTTTTTTATAAATGTCAAAGTCTAAATCGCTAAAAACGTTTTGTTTTTATTGTAAAGTGGCAATGTTAAATATTAATATGTTATTTTGCATTTATTTACATTTATTTGAATACAGCTTATGATTACTTATAGTAAGTAATTAAGCATTTCTTTGGAAAATTTACTAAATCTCTTTATCAATTCCTTAAATTTTTAAAGTTTAAAATAGTGAAACAAAACGCTTCCTAAAGTATGTTCTCATTTAAACAAGTAGATTTGGTCATTGAGTTGCTCTTGATCAGGGTTGGTTGCTTCGATTAATAGAATGACAGAACGAGGAATCAACCAATATGACAAATGCTACATGTTTGACATTTTTATAATAAAGGTGGGACGAATTCAGGCGATCGATTATTAAAGTAGCGATTTAAAATAATAATAGTATATGTAATGTTATATAAAATCGTAAAAAAGCGTAAGTATAAAAAAAAATTACGTACACGTGGCGTTACATAATAGCCAGTCGTGTTTGAAGCATGACCACAGACAAAAATCAGGACTTTCAATTTTAAGATTTAAGACTCAAAATTAGAATCTCTATATTTATTACAATGTAAATTTTAGTTTTTGTGCAATTTGGTGACTTATTTTTTACTACCATAACTACCCTATTTCGGATGTGTAAATATTAAAGTGTAAATAATATAAATTGTCTTATTTCGGGTGAAATTTTAATGTCAAATAATTTAAATCACCTTAAAACTAGCGAATGTCTAATCATAGTATTAAAAGATTTAAGTTACAATAGATATAAATAGGTTCATAATATAATCAAACTATATTAATACGAGCAGAGATATCTGATATATACGTATTGTCTATGAACCTAGGTGGACTATTTATATATTTTTTTATACATAATGTTCTATAAATTTTTGTCCCAATATAGATTTTATTTATGTACTTTAAAATTTTTATTCAAATTTCAAATCAAAATTAACTTTTTATGCTTTGTGAGTTATTTTTTTTTGGTTTATGATTTCGTATTTTTAAAGTTACGTTTTATTGCAAACTTTCAACTCATTTAGCTGATTAATAGAACCGACTACCAACACATTTGTTGTGGTGTACTTGAGAACTAGGGAACCGAAGCATATGCTCAGCAAGCTCCTATAACTGGTTCTCTAGATTATTCGTAAGTCTTCCACCGTAAGCTCCAATGTTACCACATGGGTGAACACTTAAAGAAGTCATGGCAATTTGATTTTCCATATGAAGTAGGAAGACGACCCTCTTGAGTGGGTGAATATTATTTTCAGAAATATATCCCAAGTACTCCCTAGTTTAAAGTAAAGTATAGTCTTTTACTTTAAAGTAAAGAAACTTTTAAGTAAAAGACTATATAAATTATTAACAGTCTATGACGTGTATTCCCCAGTCCAACATGCCAAATTCAAATCAAAAGCCCGTATGTGATAGTGGCATTGAGGAAGGAACATTTTTATGGGATCTTCTTTTAATGAATTGTTCTAAGTTCATTCAAGTTCAAGTTCCCTCAACCTCATCCAACTATGTCCATTCAATAAACCAGTTCATCCAAAACTTTATGATGATTCTTATAGCGATTAATAGTTAAATCAGTTATTTTTGTTTTCTAACCATCACTCCTAACAATGAAGATCTATTAAAAAATCATATTTTAACTTGTTTATTTATATCTAAAAACAATCAACGTGGCATTGGTGGAACTACGTTAAATAAAGCCTGCTAAAAATAAAAATGAAGTAGTAGAACCCCACCAGATTAACTTTTCTTTTGTGTTTGATTAACTACATTATTCAGCTAGCAGATTTCTTTAATCTGGTGGGTAATAAAGTCTTTCTTTTATTAAATACTTAATGAGATAAAAATCGTTAAATTTCAATTTATGTTATTCGTCTCAACCAGGTATACCCCATCTCTAATTCACAAGTGCAAATTTGAAAATGAAAACAAAGTTTTTTTTTTAATCTTATTCATAAACATGGTGGCAGTGCGATAGGCAGTGTTTTTTTCGGCTAGTCATTAAGTTTTGGAGCTTATTATACAAGTGTGTTTGATACAAATTGTAAGTATTTATTCTACTTGTATTTAAAACCCTGTTATCAATTATGTAAAGTAATTATAACACCCATAATTTTCAGGTAAACACCACGTCAAATAGGCTTCATAAAATTCAGGATGACGTCTGAAGAAACCCAGATTTCCGATAACCTAAAAGGATGTTACGAGAATCTTATTGTGATTGATATAGGCGCAAACTTGACAAACAAGAAATATGGCCGTGATCTCGATTCTGTTATACAAAGGGCAAAGGATGCAGGTAAAATTACTTGATAAAGTAATAAGTTTTTGGCCTAAATTGCGTGTATTATTGCAATAAATTACACGGCAGATAGTTACATCAATTCACTGTTAAATTAATTCACATTTCATATCATTGCATTAGTGGATTCCATGCATGCTTGATGCAATATTGTTTGTGTAAATTAGTTTGGACTTTGGTATCTATCATATCATAACTATATCATAACTGTCCAGATGTTTCACTTAAAAGTCACATAATTTAGTTATTGAGTATTGTTGTTTATGATATTTACTCATGATTATTGTTTTATTGAATTTCTTTTATGTATTGATTTGAAAATTTTATATTCAACCTACACTATTAAAGATGACTGATGCTAGACCATGTCAGATTAGAGCTGAGCATCAGTATCAACAAATATTACATATATTTGTATGGCCACATTGACTTGCACCTGAGTGATGGCTGGTGATTATGCTTATAAAATGTGACAGTGCTATAGCTGATGCTCTTTTCTGTAAGGTCTAGTGTGAGATATCCATAAACCAATATAATGCAAGCTTCAATACCTTGGATATTGTCATTATTGTTGGCTCAATAACATTATCTTTCATAGATGTTATACCATTGTTGTTTGTCTATAGCTATCATTATAGGAAACTAATCATAATGACAGATAATTATGAACAAACTATTTGTAGGGGTACAAAAAATTATGGTCACCGGTACATCAGTAAGAAACAGTAAAGAGGCTCTCCGACTGACTCGTCTCTATCCTGGCACAATATATTCAACAGCAGGTATGGTTTTTGCTAACTACCTATACTAGTAAAATTATAAATTTTAACTATGACATAATCCAATAACAAAAAAAAAAGAAAAGTATTTGGGCTGGTGAGTATCTTAAGCATTTTTAAATAAAGATATTTATCAGTATAGCAATGTGAATACAAAATTAATCAAAATATAAAGTAGTTTTCATTGACAGGAAAATAATTCTAATTAACATCGTCATGTTTATAGTTAAAGATACTGTTGATTCAGGTGTCCATCCTCATGATGCCAAGTCTATGGTGGATGAAGAAATGTGGTCAGACCTGAGACAGATAGCGAGCGCTCCCGAATGTGTTGCCATTGGTGAGTGCGGTCTCAACTACAGTAAAGACTTCTCCGAGCCGCATGTGCAGAGAACGGCCTTCAAACGACAGGTAGTTTTTTATTTTTTATATTGTGGATAATGCAATATTGCATAATTAACATTTTCAAATAAAACTAATTTGAGAAGTCTGGTCTGATATTGCTGAGCGGCGACAGGCATGTTTGTTAGATGTGTATTTCTATGGCTGCTCACATAAAACCTTTCTGAAGGTTGATACGGGCGGAAGTCCATTTAACTTGGAGAGGCGTGTAAATTACGCGATCTTTATTTAGAGAGGACCGTCTCGTCGTCGCTACATCAATAGGAATCGTTTATCTCGCTCCATTGTGTGCCATAGCGCAACCCGCGTGTCATTCTATAGATAATATATCACTTTGAGAAATACTTGAGGAATGTATTGGAGTCAATTTTGTGTTATATATTTTATCATACCTTCTTATGTCACCATAATACAAGCTGTAGACGACGCGGGCTCGCAGTAAAAATAAAAGTCCGAAAAACCAAAGAAAACGACGTAGTTTTTTTTGAAGGGAAAAATTTAATGTCTTTTGAAAAAGAGTATATAAAATGACAAACTAAAAACAAAAAGAAAATACACCCGAGACGTCATTCGACTCGTGCTAACAATCCTCTATGCTATTATTTAAAAAAAATACATTTCAATATTCGCGTCGCTAACACGCCCCACCCCAGTGCACTCAGCAGCACTCAGTAGTCAATGGAATTCTAGCGACGCGAGCGGCGGACCGTGTCAGTATCCCACCTTTTGTTTTAATTGTGACCATTCTTACTCGTCCATCTTTTCCAGGACATGTCTCTTTTATGAGGCCTCTAGGCCATATATTTCGAGGTCCATTTGGGTCCACAAGGAAAACCAGATCTCCCACTTGCAAGGGTCTCTGTTCTTGATTCCATTTTTTTGTTCCATTTAAACACCAACGCCGTTTCTTTTTGTTTGGATTATAAACTTTGAAATGAGGCAAGTACCACGTCTTTGGTGTAATTTTATTGTTAATAATGTCTTTAACGTAATTATTCCGTGACAAGTGTTGAATGGTTTCATGACACAGTGCTGCATATTCTTTATTCCTTTTTAAATTTAGTTCCACATATTTTAATCGTGTCATAGCCATCGGTGATGAGTCAGGTAGTACACAGTTTCTATCTCTCCAGGGTAAGCCCACTTGCCATCTACCATTGATGAGGGTGGATGTTTCTTCTAGGCAGTTCCAGGCAAGCTGATCTTCTGAATTCTGTCGTGGTTTTGCAGAAGAAACTCCCATAGATTCAATGGAAAAATAACGTTGCACATCATCGTGAAGATTACGAAGCGCATCATCTTTATTACGTTCGCTGCCTGCGGAAGGATCGGCAGAGCTAATGAAAAACGTCGAATGAAGTGTTCGTGCCATCGAAGAACTCGAAAGCGGTACCTTTCCGTGTAGACACCATCCTAGCGGCGTGCGGGTGGCGCATAGGTCATTTGGTCCACCCATAACGGTCTCTAAAGGTAAGAGCACGTGATAATTGTCTTGTCCTATTAAAATATCAGGCTTAAGTGAGACACAATACAGTTCATCTTTAAGGTAATGTAAGTAGTCATAGTCCTCACATTTCACTAAGCTTGAATCTTGCCGAGGTAAATTAAGCTCATTAACACTACGCAAATTAATATTAAACTTGTGCCCGGATTTATTTGATACGGTCAATTCGAATATTTCAGCTTCACACAAAAGTTCGGTGTTGTCCCAAGCACCGCGCACTCGCATAGATTGTTTACGACCACGCAGCCCTGCGCGCCTAGCTGCTGATGCGTTTATCATAGATACAGTGGAGCCGTCGTCCAACAACGCATTCACACTGAAAATACCGTTAGGTCCATGAATGTTTATAGGTAATACTTTGAGTAGCACTGAACTATTGTTTGCATTGATATGGGTAACCGATTCATTTTGCAAATTTGTTTCAGTCTCTGGTATTGCCGTTAAGTTTGTCTGTGCTGGTACCACGTGATTATTATTATTTCGACGCGTAGAGGGTACGTAATGCAATAAACGGTGGTGAGGTTCGCCGCACTCGTTGACGTCACACACAGCAGCGGGACACGTTTGTCTATCATGACAAGTTAATAAACATTTATAGCATAAGCCGGCACGTTTCACAAAAAACCATCGGTCCTTACGTAGTGCTTTTTTAAACTTTTTGCACTCAGCTAAGATATGTTTAGATATACGACAAAAACGACACTTTTCACTTTGTTCTTTTTTATCACTTTGTAATAAAACAGTTTGAGTACACCCAGAGTTATTTGCATTATATCTGAACTTATTGTCCCACCGAAAGTTTATTAAGTTTGCACTACATGTTGCCGTTTTAAGAGCTTCCATATTTAAAAAATCGGACAATATATCGAGTCTAGGTTTTTCACGTTTAGCTATAAGTGGATAACTGTAGTCTGCCCACTTCGACAATAAAACTGTGGGTAATTTAGCTAGCAGCATGTTTACCACATCAATGCCCAGTAGATACTCTTCGCGCTGAAGCTCATGCACAGAAACCACAAAATTCTTTATTTTTATAGAAAATGGCACTATGTCTTTATGATACTCTTGTGGCAATGTATTCAATTTCTTCAAATCATGCAATATTCTTGAAATTATTATTTCTGGATTGCCAAATAGTAGTTCAAGCGTAGACATAACAATATCAGGCGCCGTAGTGCTTATCAACAAAGCGGAGACTGCTTCTTTAGCTGGACCTCGAAGGCATCTCCTCAAACGCCACAGGTTTTCTTTTTGACTGAAGTTACATATAGCTGTAGACTCTTCATAAGCATTTTTAAATGACAGCCACTCCATAGGGTCACCAGTAAACACAGGGAGCTCTCTCGGTGTGCTAATGCGGCTGAGCAAGTTAGCGTTCTGGCTAGTGGATGCAGAAGTGGTGACTAAATCCTTTAGTGCGCTGACCAATTGCTGAACTGGACCATCAGTGCCGTCGACATGCGGCGGCGGAAACGCTGAGCCTTTTATTGTTCCAGATTTGTTAGCTCCGTGTTTCTCCAGCTCATTTTGACTGCGCTCAAGCCACTCCTCAATATCCTGACCGTCACTTTGACTATTGCACTCCGATGCGTTTGGACTGTAATTATCATCAATAGCAGCTAGATCTGCCGCCAACTTCTTATTAATGAGGTCAATTTCTATACGAGCTTTTTCCTTCGCAGCTTCTAATTCAAGTTTCTTTTTTTGGGCCAAAATCGCGGACGATTTGCTTTTCGCTTTTGAAGATTGTGGCGAGGATTGAACTGAAGCTGTTTTATTTTCGACCTTCATGTTACCAGCACCATCATTTTCCATTTGTGGCTGGACGTCGACGTCGTTCTTGGTGTGACTTTCTTTCCGTACGGTACTACGAGTGTTGACCATTATTTTGCTACGCGGCGGCGTGTGAAACATTGAAAGATCCTGCTCGAAGACTACCACTTTGTAGACGACGCGGGCTCGCAGTAAAAATAAAAGTCCGAAAAACCAAAGAAAACGACGTAGTTTTTTTTGAAGGGAAAAATTTAATGTCTTTTGAAAAAGAGTATATAAAATGACAAACTAAAAACAAAAAGAAAATACACCCGAGACGTCATTCGACTCGTGCTAACAATCCTCTATGCTATTATTTAAAAAAAATACATTTCAATATTCGCGTCGCTAACACAAGCTGTTGGTTTCTAATGCTTGATTTGATAAAAGCTTTAAACCGATTGTGAAAGTTTGGCACTTATAATAAAAACAAACAATATTAAGAAATGAAAAAAATAATTAACAAAAAGCATTATGTACTCAATTGCAGTGAGCTTCTTAAATTAGTTTCCGCGAGAGATAAGGATTTTTTTATTAATAATTTGTTCTATTGTAATTTTTATTATTGCATTTGTGTCTCTGATGTCGCTATTACATGTGTAGGTAATTAGAACGTATTCTACTGATTCATTATTTGTGTATGTTATGCAATATATAATTAACTAATATATAATTAAAGTAAACTGTTGTACATCAGCTGCATCCTCGTGCAATTGCAGCGCATTTGCGACTGTTTTATCGATGCAGAATAAACCTGTTAAAAGCATTCTACTCTGAGGATGTAGGTTCGAGTCCCATCTCAGAGCGCCAGGGACAAAGTGGATTTTTTAAACTTTTTTTTTTTAATATTTTTAGTATAGCATTGTCAATGAAAAATTTATCAAATATAATAATAATATCAGAGTAATAAAACCTCAATGTGAAACATGATTGAAGATTTTCTTTAAGCGAAAATAAAACGATGATATCAGGGCGTATCTAGAGATATCTTTCAAACAACCTACCATTTAGATAGTAATCATGAAAAGCGTAGGAGGCATTGCCCTATTCCATTTTTTAATTTTGCCAGTGTTTGTGTTAAGACTCTATGAAGAGTAGAGGATGTCACAGACTTCTTTTTTTCGCATAAAGCACCATTCCTGTGGATCATGCGGGCATCGTTAGGTACTATGTATACAAATGTTACAGTTTAGTTTTCAGTCCGTTGCACCATTGAGTCACCTGTTGAGTGAGTACCGCGTTCGTGACTCGTGACCCATTTGACTGACTAATCGGTTCATAACACATCGCTAGTACTTATTTATATAACGAGCTGGCTAATTTGTAATGGAACTTTACTTTTTTGTTTTTTTTTTGTTAATACGCAATGTCGATATGACGATATATTGGTTGTTTAAATTATTACTAATATAAAATATTATGCTTATTGGAAATACATATACCCTGACTCGTACGGTTATCGCTTAGTTCCACTTAACGTTTAGGTTTAGGGTATCATATTAGCATATATTTTACTTGAGATAGGTAAATAATTTTACCTCACTCAGCAAAAATCTGTTTTAAAGACATTTTATAACATATCATTTATGATAAATGCATTGGTAAAGTAGGTGTTTTTCCGCTACTTCGCCCGCGTATATTTAAGCCTATATCACCGGTGTATGATGTGACTTATTATTTTTTAAATCTGTCCAGTAGTGTAGAAGTTTATTCAATGCAGCAATCAAATCTTTCCTTTTTAAAATATTACCTAGTATAGATGATGTGTCGTATTAGTTCTAATGGCTATGATGGAACATTACTTGTCTGAGCAGTGAGCGTTTGCGGGTTGAATACCGTCTGGAATCATCTAACGCAGGCATTTTTTTCATTTACGTATAATTTTTAAGTATTCTTAAAGATACACTCTACCTTCGTACCCAAAGTATACATACTTGGTTTGATAATTATGTGTTGATTATAAAACTGGGAAACTCATTTTTGGTGAAAGTAATCTTATCTATGTTAATTATGTTAGCAGTGAAAGAACAATAAATTAATAAGCGTGTGGTTCGATGCGTGAACCCGTATGATTATATTGTGAGATAAAAAATTATATAATAATTTATTAAATTCTACTATACATAAAAATAAATTGTTTACTTTTGTAAATTAATTCAATATGTGGAGCAATACTTTGGTACTGTGACATCCCATGTATAAGAAACCAGTGGTTGGCGCGCTCGGTCTACGATGCGGTTGTTAAGCAACTTTCACAATGGTCGGTTATAGGATGGGTGACCAAATTTATTATCTCGATCTCCTCTGCTTCGGAAGGCACGTTAAGCCGTTGGTCAGAGCTGCATATTCAATCGTTTATACCCACCAATCCGCACCAGGTTCGAGCGTTTGTTTTTTCATGGTCCATTCTCACATAGGTAAGGCCTGAGCCCCTGAGATTTTGATCCTTTCCACACAACCTTTGGATGCAGAAATGAGCTTTCTTGAAAGTAGGGTTGGCATAATAAATAATACATTTTATAGTTGAAATACTACAATTGTTTCTAATACTGTATAATGTTATAAGCATTTTTTCCTAAAAATTACAGATAATTTGAAACGTTATTATTTCCTGGTACAATCAGCAGTACGTCAGGTTATGCAAAACTGTCAAATTATCCACTTAATTTTAAACCTTAATGCATTGTCGCTAGAGTTCAAAATCAAATTAGGAAATTTGATATTATCAAGTTCTACACTAGCAAGTTATAATCGTACATTTCTGTGAGCTGTAGAGAAAATAATTGAACTGTACACTATTCACAGAACACAATTGTACTAGGTAACGCAATGGTAGTTGATGCAACTATTGAACGAGTCACTGAGTCGTCCGAATCTCAATATTTTTAATTGTTTCTAGGTTGAAATGGCGTGCGACTTGGGGAAGCCTTTATTCGTTCACGAGAAGGAGGCTCAAGATGATCTGGTGAAGATCTTGGACGATGTTGGCAATCGCCTGCCGCCGGTGGTCATTCACTCGTTCACTGGCACTGTGGAGCAAGGGCTCAAATATATAGAGAGGGGATACTACATCGGTATTACAGGTAAATCAACACTAGAAAATTTAACCCTTTGTACAGGGAATGTCACATGAATGGACACTAATATACTTGGTTATCGAGTGCGAATTGAAGTCATATTGAGCACATGAAGTCTCCTATCAATTTCGCATTTAGAACGGAGCATTATTTTGTATAATAAGTGAATAAAATATAGCTTGAGAGCGCAACGATACGTTTGATCTGCGAAACGGTAATTTAGCAACTTTTGCTATGGCCAGTCATAGGGTGGGTGACCAAAAAATTAGTATCTCCCTTCAGAACGCACGTTAAACCGTCGGTCCCGGCTGCATTTGTAGTCGTTAGCACCAATCAATCCGCACTGGGTCTGGTGGTGGGCTATGGCCCAATCACAAATCGCTTTGCCACAAGTCTCCAGCAGATGATACATTGATAGCTTAAAAAACAATGATATTAATATGTCTAGATACGCAATACATACCAAAAATCAGAAGCTACTAAAACTAAGACGTTTGTCTTAGTTTTTTCGTTTTTCACTTCATTACTCATTCAACTCCCGCCAAGAAAGCCCAAAAAAATGCTCCGTAAAAACGAACAGTGGATAAAATACGATTCTCTTTCACAAATACACATAATACGAAAGAATATTAAGTTTCACTCTTAAGTAATTAACATTTTTGACAATAAATACAAAATTAAAGCTAGGTTATAAAATAAAAATATTTAATTTTCACAAATAACATTTCGACATTTTGTCGACAGTGTTGCCACTGCTATTCAATTTCAATTTTCCCAAGTATATGGGAGCCTTTTCTTTTTATTTTACGTATAGGCAACTGCGCTAATTGTGTTGATATTTTTTTATACACGCACACAGACGCTAATGTGGTTTAATTTTTTCAATGCGTGGAATTCGTTAGTTGTCGAGATACAACTTTTGAAAATACATAAAATTGAACCTTTGTTTGATGTTTTATGAACTTTGACAAATGCTTTTGTCTTAGCCACTGACTTTATCGAAAAACAAAGGGATATATATGCACAGAGCCTACTTTCGTGATTGTTTTTATTTGAAAGTTTTTCAAAGTTACAGTATTTTACTTATTGATTTAATACATATATCTACACTACTCATTCATTCATCATCATCACAATGGGTGAAATTTTCGACAGCTGGCAATACAATATCAATTACCCATTTTTCCGTTCATTCTGTCGTTCGCACATATTCTGTCTTTGTTTAATTTAAAGTTTAATCGTACATATGAGGGAGACAAATATAATAAATCTATTTATAATATATAGTATAAATATTATTTGCAAAGCTACGTCCTGATTTCGGAAAAGTGCTACGCTTTTTGGCGCGTCCGTTGTATGGGATTGCTTCTCTAGTTATTAAACTCATTGTTAAAAAATGTAGTTCCTGACCGGCCGAGGTAGCAACTTGGGCTCTACTATTATCACTCCATGTACGTTCAATGAAATAAATCTCAGAATGTTACGTCCACATCAGGTTACATATGCAAGGACAAATCAGACGGTGGCATCAGACGTCTGCTGTCCGAGCAGTTGCTGCCTGTGGACCGGCTGGTGGTAGAGACGGATTCTCCGTTCATGTATCCCAACATGAGAGCCTCCAAGCTGCCGCTCCACGTTAAAGATTCACTTACAGAGAGGTCAGTTATAGATATTATAGGACTTAGCAAAACACACAACTTCGAGATTGTGTTTTCTCCTTATTTTTTTTATTCTAATTTACTCTATTTTTTAATTACTGCAACTTAATTTTGCTTAACTTTAAAGATTTGTCCGCTATAGGTAAAGACTGAGGTTAGGCTACATGAAGATTAACCGGGTAATCCTAACATTCTATCTATCATTAGACATACCTTTACAATGTGTGAAGGATCGGATCCATGTGTTTTATATAAAATTTTATCAACAGAAAGCTCATCTCATTAGTCAGTAAGAAAATTATTAAAAGGGAAAATTATCTTCATCCAAATAAACTTATTAAAAGTACTTTTGAATCATCAATTTCTTATTTTTTATAATGCCTGGCCTTACATTTATGGCCGAGCCCTACACTGCACCCCACTATTGTCAGTAGGCCTTTTTTATTTCTAATTTCTCATACACTTCAGTTCTTTCTTTTTCTCTGTCCCTTTCATGCCTCATTCCTGTTCTTTCTTTTATTCCTATCTCTTTCTCACTTCGAGTGGCCGGGTTCGCCACCACATCTATCACTATGCTTATTCTACTTATTTACTATTTTATTTCTGGTTTAATAAATTGCGCAACTCTTTATTTTATTAATGTTGTTGTCTTATCTTAATTATAAGTGCTGGTTACATTTATTTCTTATGTTTATTCTTAACTAATACTGTTTCTTCTTTTTGTGTTTCTATTACATTATCATATTTTATCATTCTCCATCAATTTCTTTTACCTTTTATCATTCTCCATCAATTCCCATTACCTTTTACCTAGCACTTACTTTTTAAAAAGCGTAAAATTTAGTTACCCTGTTTACGAGGCTCGTATATAAACAAAGGGAAAATAAAACGATATGTTAAAGACCTAGTTTCTTTGGTAGAAAATTTTATAAGTAAGATAATAAAAATTCCAAAATAGCTCCCATTTAGACGTGTGGGTCGCGAACCCCATTTTTTTTAGTAAATTATAGGAAATTCTATACTTTACACATTGTATATGTTATATTGACTGCAGCATTACATTTGATTGTGATTCTTAATATATTTTAAGGTCGATGAATTTCGTGAACCGCTATTGCACGTTCCAACGCAACGAGCCGTGCGCTCTGCCCGCGATAGTGGAACTGGTGGCCGGATTCCTGGGGCAAAGCCCTGAGGACGTCGCCCTCGCCACCGCATTCAATGCCCTCAAGATATTCGGCCTCAGCCAATAACACTAGTCAGTGATGATTTTGTGAGGAATTGCAAGCGAATGTATGTATAATATGCAATGTCTTAAGGTTGAATTTCAGTAGATCTGTACAAAACATCTAAAAAAAAAAATTAAAGTTCATATCTATATTTTAGGATTTATGCATGTTTACAATCATAACAGAGCTGTATGTAAAATGACATTTGCGTTTTTTCTCTTATCCTTATAAAAAGATTAGATATCATTGAATTTATAAGAGTGACATATCAGATCCGTTCAATTTTGTTTGTTTCCAATATTCGATTTTAATTTCGATTTTATTTCAAAAGCAATGAATGAATTATTATAAATAAACACAAACCGTATTAGTGTTGATTTTCAATAATTACAGATGTCATTTCGAACACAACTTTGTTTTAGCTAATTCGGCCACTGTAAAAATCTTTGGCCCACATTTGCCTGCAATTCCTTACAATCAAGGGATAATGCTTGCCAAAGTTGCACTCTAGAATTAAGGAATCCATATTGGCTCTTTCGCTTATTGTGTTGTGATGTATAACTGACAATAAAACCATTAGATGTAGTCGATATTATTGCCCCTAGGGCTGGTTTCATGAGATTAGAATCATATATTATACTAACTAAAGCGAGCGAAAAGGCCAAATAGATTGAACATATTAAAAGGAAAATCAAAGAATCGAATTACACGTATGTACAATCGGCTTCGGAGCTTTGTGCCTTATATCAATCAACCGTAAGATGGTAATCGGCTGAATTTATATTGTGGTTTCTTCAAATGTCATCATAGATTGTAATTGAAAATACTCAAAAACTGATTAATATTATCTCTATATCGATCAGATTTGTTTTGAATCAAAAGAGGCTATAAATGTACTAACCGTCTATGTTTAAAAAAAATCTTGCCACCCATTTTAAATAAGGACTATAAAATAACCTAATCCCCGCCTCTTTATGAAACAAACGACACAATAAATAAGGTATATTTTAGCGAGAGCAGCTATTTTTGTTTAATAAGTTTGATTTTGCAAAATCAAAACGAATTTATACCGAAGTATTTTAAAGTGAATAGCGTACCTGAACGCTCGAAGTCTAACTAATGCCATTGCCAGTGGGTAAGAAAGAGAGAGAGAGAGAGTAAGAGAGCATAATATTTTTGGTGACGTATTTGTTTATGGTTAAGATTATGACACTCGTTTAATTTGGCTTACCGTTAGCGGATCGTGTTGCACATGCCTTGTTAGCTATATATAAAATGTATATGGTGGCAATATCATTAGTCACTCTGATCTCATCTGTTACATTATGTGCGTTGAATGACTGACATATATTTTTTAAGGAGACACCGAGTGTTTTTCACAAGTCAATCGTAAGTAACCGTTAATAATAATATGAAAATAAGGACATTCATCACGTTTACGGTTGATTTGTGGAATATTATCCTTATAAACTTTTTTATAATTATTTTTATAATATTTGAATGGCGATTTCTACTTGATTGATATACAGCTGTTATCGGTGAATTATTATTTGTTATATTTGAGGATTTTTATATAATGCACTGTTAAAATGTGTAATGTTTCAAGTAGATAACGCCTGCGCAAGATTAATGCAATATCAAAGTTTGCCTTTTCCGAATTGCCATTAGAATTAACAGAAATTTTTTATAACTCTTCCTTTGTAACAATTTATGAATTGCCACTGTATCGTCTTTTACGCACGGTGTTAGGTGTCTTGTAGTTCTTCGCTCTGCGCAGAGCATTCCTATTCGAATTAATAATTATGTATCATCGAATATTTTGTAAATAGTTATTAATGTTTTATTCTCTATTATTATTATAAATGTTAATGCTGGTAGTCACAACGAAATCAAAGACTGCGAGTATTAAGTGGAATTTGACAATTATTATTAGTGTTTCTTTTTTTTTAATGTTTTTATACATAATTAATCATTTAATAGAAACATGTTGTTGTTGATTCCTTTATTTTTTGACAATCACTTTGTTGTAGTTGTAAGATGTACGGACCCAATTTTGTAAAGTTGAACAGATTTATTATGTAATTTATATCGCCTCTATATTAAGGCACATAAAGCTTAATTTATTGTAGATTATATTTTCTAACTGATTTGTATACAATGAATTAGAAGAAGGGTCTGAGATATCGAGTAGTGCCTTTCGAGAACGTCTTTTGTGATAAAATATATTCTTAGAATGTACAGATTATATCTTTCAATATACAAATTAAAAAATATAATGTTGTTTTATTTACATATAATAAAATGAAGTGGTTTTGAATTATGAAAAGAAACTGTAAATGATTGGTATTTATTTAATTATATTTTGATAACTTTAACATTTGGACCATCATACATGGTGTAGTTTAAAATTTCTGAAATTTGGGAGTTAAATATTATAGTTCCATCATTTATTGCTTTGCTACTGGAGAAGTATTGCAGATAATTTACGGATTATATGTCAAAAATAACTGATTGGAAATAAACGAGGAAGGTCACACTTTACATGTAATGTATCTTTAAACTTTTATATCAACATAAACTTAGTCATGACACAATTTTTGCCTGATAATTATGCAACTTTTATAAATTTGTAAATGAGTAAATAATATTAAACATTATCGAGGATTAGTGTCCAAATATTATTTATTTAGCCAGTCTTGTCATTGTTACAATCCAAAAATACACAATTTTTCAGACGCACACATGTTGAATAAGCATTCAAAGTACACACAGCTTATCATTTTTGCATCATTCACTGGTTTTTGTTCACATTGATTGCATCATCTTCAGGAGCGCATTGTAGACGTAAGCAAATCAGTGAAAGGATCGTGTAAAACATGTATCACTGTACTTTCCTAAAAAGAAAATGGTAAGAGCGAGATATCTCCAACATAAGTAATACTTTTACTTGCTGGATTAGTCTCATGTATAATTTGGAAAATAAAAAAATATACAATAGCTTTCAAATTTGCTTAGATAATCAACCTTACATGAATGTCTTCAGCGCGTATGAGTCACTATCCTGTGTATAGCCTCAGAAGTTTCCACAGCTATAAGAGCGATGGCTAACGATAAAGTGACAGGCCCTGATGAAATCCCAGCTGAACTTTGGAAAAGACTTGACGAGGCAGGAGTTATCTTCCCTACAAATATCTTCAATCAAATTCACACTGCTTTCTGAATGGCGCGAGCAAAAGCTACCTTTTTATAAAAATAAAGGAGATCTAAGATCATGCCAAAATTACAGAGCTGTTAAATTGATCTCACACATCTTTAAAATGATGTGTCATTAATAATAGCCTAGCAGTAATTACTAGTATATCAGAGAACCAGTGTGGCTTTGTAGCCTACAGAAGCCCTCCATACTATGAGAATTCTAATAAAACAATATAAAAACAACAAAGCTGACCTACACATGTCATTCATCGATCTGGAAAAAGCATTCGCCGATGTGCCTCGAGATCTCATATAGCTTGCGTTGCGAGCAAAGAGTGTTCCAGAGAGTTATGTGCAGATAACAGCCTACATGTATCGCGATGTCACAAGTAAAGTCCGGCGGGTATTAGTGATGAGATTGATGTAAGAATAGGAGTCCACCAAGGATCAGCATTGAGCCCACGCCTTTTTAACTTCGTCATTGACCACCTAACAGTACAGCGTACAGCGTTCTCTTCAGTGGGATCGACAAAACATGCTCGAATCATGGAGAGTGGCACTCGAAAATAGCAGTTTACGACTGAGTAGGCAAAGACCGAGGTGATGCATTGCAGCTTTTATTTTGTTACTCTAAGTTGCAAAAACGTCCATTAATGTTTAATGACGTCTTTAAGCTCTAATGAATGTCAAATAATAATATCGCTTTAAACTGATGACGATTTTAATGGACGTTTGTGCAACTTGCTGTAAATGTAGAAATTAAAATTTAAGCACTTAGGCACAATAATTCAGAACGATGGAACTCTTGAAACGGATTTTACCAAATGCATCGAAACAGGGCGGCTTAAATGGCGTGAACCGCCTCAGATGGTACGGTCCCATCATCGGCGACCAACTGACCACATGACGAGAATAGTGCTGGAGACGAATGAGCACCCAAGAGGGTGCGGAAAATCCCAACTCACATGAACGGGTTTAGTCAATTAAAACTTAAAAGAAGCCCAAACTTTCTAGACTTCCTACCTTCTTCCCTACCCAAGACGACCTAGGGCAGGATATCCCGGTGACGACGCATTATCGACCCTAAGTAGATGAGATAAGGCTAAGCAAAAGAAGTATTAAATACGTCACATATCGCAGTACTATTACTGCCGTTTCAAGTTTGTTTTGATGTTAGTCACTTACGTCACATATCGCAGTACTATTACTGCCGTTTAAAGTTTGTTTTGAAACAAGTCACTTGTCGTTTCATCTCTTTTCTTTACACTACTCACTGTTATCACTTTTAAAGCACAGTTCACATTTGTCAGGGTCATTTCACTCGCCGTTATATTTCTAGCTGTTGTCTAGGTTTCGTACGCGAGCGGGCGGCGGTGACGTCAGCACTTTCTTCGACAGCCTCACTTGACCAGACGCTGGGTCGCGGCCGAAATACTTCACTTGAATCTCGGAACCGACGTCCAGACCTAGTACGGACGGATGTTGGATCTGTAACAAAAAAAAAGTTATTAGAAACGTTAGTAGTTAGTAGATTACAGCGATGAAGCTACATCGTGTAGCTTCATGATCAGATTTTTCACGAGTATCCCTGCGATTTTATAAAAATCCAAATACGAATTCGAATACACTCAGGTGTCCGAATTGACTTTAAGCGAAAAGCGGCATCTGCTCAATGTTTCGCGGCATAAGTGAAGTGAGTTTCGAAATGACATAGGAATAGAATATCTAGGACACATATAATCAATCAATTTTGTTTTGTATTTTTATACGAAAAATGGAATCACGGACGGACACATGTGTGAATTCGAATTTGGATTCGGATTTTTACAGAATCACCCTGCAGTTCAGCATTTCCTAAGATGACATCCTACAAAAAACAAAGTTAGAAACTTTAACTCTTTGTAATATTGCAAGCTGTTTTCCTGCGACTTCGCACGCGTAAATTATAGTCTATGTAACTCCGTATGATGTAGTTACTCATAGATGAAAGAATTTTTTAAATCGGTCCAGTAGTTTGGGAGTGTCTTTATAGTATTAGTATAAATTAGAATCAATGAACGAACTAGTTCGTTTAGATTCTTTTCTTTGCTCTTTGCAGCAGGAGTAGTTTTAAAACGAATGAACGATCTGCTTTATATTGAAATTTTTTAAGGCAACTCG